CCGGGTTGGCTTCATTTTTCGGGGCCGGTTGCTACGTCCATCTTTTATACAGTCTATGCTCCTGATGCACACGTACGACGTCGATGAGCTCCGATGACATCGTTTCTCTCCAACAGTCTCCACTCTGGCGGCCGTAGACTGATGCTACTGAGACGAAGACTTTGCAGGAGAACCATTAGCATCGGGCCTTCTGATATTTTGCTGCTCAGAAACTGGATCTAAAATAGCGTCAGCGATCAGAAACCAGAGCTGAAACATGAAACACGTCGCTGTCCAAATGCCTGCGTATCTGTGCATCATGAAGTCAAACCATCATGGTGGTGTTTGAACAAAGACAACCATCTTTGTTTCCCCGTCGCAGCATTTCCAGGCCAGGTTCCCCCGGTTCTCCCTTCACTCCTTCATCTGAGTTCATGTTTTCACCTTCAGCCTTTCCTTCTATTTTCCCCCTCGTGTTTCTTTTTTCGTTCAGAGCTGTTTATCTGCTCGGTGATGTTTCTGTGACAGAGTTTTAATGCTTCCTTGCTGCTTGGCCTCCCTCCTCTCTACAAACCTGCCTGGCTCATGACTGTTTGCTTTATCTGCACTAACAAATCTCTTCTAACCTTTTTGCACTTGTGCCTCTTTCTCTCTCTCTTCTCTCTTCGCCTTGCCTCGGCCCTTTTAGTGCTGGGGGACACTTACAATATTCCTTTAGACCCCCGAGGTAAGCACCAGACTGCTGGGGCCCCCGATCAGTCCGGCTCTCAGTGTTTGTCGTGTTTTCTTGTGGATTCTTGAAGCTGTAAATGTAGTTTGTTACCTGAGAGTGTGATGTGTTCATTCAGCAGTAATATTCTAACATTCCCGCCGTCGCTTAACGTGTCGTCTGTCTTTCACAGAGACGAGTTCATCAGCGAGCAGCTACACCTCCGAATTCAACAAACGCCTCCTCAGTGCCTACATATGTGAGTCCGGAACCAGAACCACCGCTTTGTTGCTGCAGGAAGTGAGGGTTTGTAAACTGAGGAGTGATTCTGGTGTTTTTCAGGTAAAGTTTTGGGGAACCTGCAGCTGAACCTGCTCAGTAAATCCAAAGTGTACGAGGACTCGGCTCTCAGCGCCATTTTCCTGCACAACAACTACAACTACATCCTCAAGTCGCTGGAGAAGTGAGTCAATCAGGAAATCTTTTGTGTGTTTTAGCCAGAAAATCAGACTTTGTTTTATTTAGTTTCACTTTATTAAACCTGCAGTGATATCCAGTGCAACAGATCAGCCACTTCTTCAGCCTTTATGAAGCTTTTAACAGTCAGAAATGTTACCTGGTTTGATAGAAAACCACTCAGTGACACTCAGGCTTCAGGCGTTTAGTTCTGGTTCCTGAAGCTTCCTGAGCATTTTAACCAAAATTAAATCCAAGTGGAACCAGGAAATATTAAATGTTATTAGTGGATGTACAGAACAGGAAAGATTTGTGTGTAAAAACTCTTTAATTAGCATCTGTAATGACTTGTGTTCGTCCTTTGAATGGAAGTAAGTCTTAATTCATTGGCTTGTTTTTGATCACGCCACCAAAACCTGAACATCAGAGCTGTTCTCTCTTCTTTAGACAGGATTCAGGATTCACCAGTTGTTTTAAATCAATAACGGTATTAATATCCCCGTCACGAACAGATGCAAAATCACATCAATAAACCATTCATGCTTCAAGAATCTTTAATTACAAACCTTGGGTGCTTCAGCAGACGGCAGCTGGACTTGTTTTGTGTTCTGGAAGATGTTTCCTGAGTTCTAACGGACTGAGGAGAGTTCCTGGTATTTAGCCTCAGGACGGATCTCAGTGCTGCATAAATGCTGCTGTTGACCCGTTACTCTGTTTAGAGATTATCTGCTGCAGTTTAACGTCGTTCCTTCACCGTCCTTCATCCTTTAGACGCAGGTGGATGCTGATGTTTTGTGTATGTTTGTAGGTCTGTGAACTCCTCGCTGCGCTGAACAACCCTGTCCAGCTTGTGTTTGGTTCCTCGGGATGAATCAGATTGTTGTGTTGTGTTTCTTCACACACATCTAAGATGGCATGTTGTTTTAATCCGGCATGTAGCCAGAGTGTCTGAGACAACAACGCAGCAACACTCTGGGAAACAAAGGTCTAATGACAAAACAGCAAAACACAAGCTTGTATATGCCGTCTGACGCAGCGAGGAGTTAACAGACCTGCATATAGCAGAGACTTAACGACCATAATACAAGAGAGCAGCTCCTCAAGACAGAACGGAGCTTCCACCTACATGTAAAGTGTCACTCAGCTAAAGACGGATGGTTTAAGAAGGAAGGAAGACGTCGACTGTAAACAGAGGAGGATCTACGACACCAGCTATCAGGTGTTTGTGATGCCGTCCTGAGGTTCCTCTCCAAACGGTTTAAACATCATTTACACTTTGAGTCATGTGAGTTGAGTTTAGGAACAAATCAAACCAGTCCGCAAGAACTGAGGAGGCTTTCTCCTGAACTACTCAGGACCTCCATGACCTGGATGAAAATGTACACAAATATTAAGAGAACACAATAAAGCAAGAGCCGGGATTTCAAAGACATTTTTCTACCTAAGTTTTTAAAAAATCCAGAAGTGTTAAGACCTTTTCAGACAGTTCAGGACTCCGTAGCTGCCCCGTTTAACTGCGTCAACAGTTGTTCTTATTTAAGGTTCCACCGGGTCTACATTGTGAACGTCTCCTCATCTGTTCAGGTCCGAGCTGATCCAGTTGGTGACGGTGACCCAGAAACGAGCCGAGACGTCGTACAGAGAACTGATCGAGCAGCAGATTGACACGTATCAGCGCAGGTGAACAAACCCACTCCAACCAGCTGGTCTTTAACGTCCGTGTTTGTTCTGACCGACGCCGTTTTTTCTCTCTGCAGCTGGCTGAAGGTCACCGAGCACCTGACGGACCGGAACATGCCGGTGTTTCAACCTGGAACCAAGGTCAGGAGTTATTATGTGGCGCAGACGTGTTGACTTCAACACGACTCTGTGATTTTTAACACTGAGGAAACACTCGGTGCCTCCAGCAGCAACCAAACAGACCGTTTTATCATCTGTGAATCTAACAGCAGAAACTCTGCTTCACATGTTTTATTGATGTTGTCGTGGGCGGTGCTGGCGTTCTGGACTAAAAGTGTTCCCAATGTTTCATCCTCATTATCATACATGAGGGAGGAATTATATTAGGGACACGTTTATGAATATGAAATGTAATCCAGAACACCAACACCACCCACCACGACTTCATGACTCTCTTTGAGCAGCAGCGTTATTGGAGGTTTTTCTCTATAATATGATATTTTAAAGACGCTACTTTGCTGAGAAGTGTCTCGAGATGACACTTGTTGTGAATTAGAGCTTCATAAATACAACTGAATTGAGTTAATAGAGTGTTTCTGAGGGCTGCAAGGTGGCCCAGTTGGTAGCACTGTTGTCTCGCAGCAAGAAGGTCGCCGGTTCGCGTCCCGGTGGGGGCACCGGAATCTTTCTGCGTGGAGTTTGCATGTTCTCCCCGTGCAGCGTGGGTTCTCTCCGGGTTCTCCAGCTTCCTCCCACACAGTCCAAAAACATGCTGAGGTTAATTGGTGATTCTAAATTGTCCGTAGGTGTGAATGTGAGTGTGCTTGGTTGTCTGTCTCTAAGTGTAGCCCTGTGATAGACTGGTTACCTGTCCAGGGTGTCCCCTGCCTTCACCCAAAGTCGGCTGGGATAGGCTCCAGCCCCCCTGCGACCCTAATGAGGATTAAGCGGTGTATAGATAGTGGATGGATGGATGGATGGATGGATGGAGTGTTTCTGAAACTGTGGACGCGTCATAGAAAGTAGGTCGTCTCAGAACTGCTGCATGACGTTTCACAGACGTGTCCGATGAAGCGTCTGTTTTCTGTCGTCTGTCAGGAAACTCTGCCGGTACAGAAAGGTGAGAGGATGTGACATTTATAGCTCGTTTAAGAGGAGGATTTCTGACAGCGTTGTGGAGGATGAAGCTCAGTATCTGGTGTTTTCAGCTGACAGATGTTTGTGTATTTAGGAGCTTCGACAGCTTTGATCCAGCCGCTACTTCACCGCTGCATCTATTCACTGTTAGATCTGTTAAAAACGAGGCTGCGCCGCCGGTCTGTCCTCATATGAGCTCATGCTATGAGCTAATGCTGCCGTCTAGTTGTGTAGCTGGTTCATAGCGCAGCACCTTTAACGACGTGTTGTTTACGATTCGATCTCTGTCAGATCATCCGTCGGCGTTCCTGAACTCGTAAACCGACACATCTGTCATGGCAGCAGTGCTCGTCTAACGAGTGTCAAATATCCGCCTTTTAAAACCAATAACGAGCAGTTGGTCCATATAGTGTCGCATCATGTTTGTGCATCAGCAGAATGTTTCTCTGAACTGGCAGTTTGTTAAAACGCCGACTGTTCTTGTGAATCACTTCTCATTGTGGCCTTCAGGTGGCGCCATACTGCAGCTTCATGTCCACTTCATGAGGTTTTCCCCTGAAGTCTGATGCAGTCCAGTACAGCAGCTCCTTTAAGACTCTTTCACGGTTTTAGCTTTTGTTGAAAAAAATCCAGTGATGCTACTTTATGTTCACATCTGAAGTCCTGATATGTGGTGGTGCGCTAGAATACACTTCAATATATTGAAAAATGCTCCTGATGTTTGTTAACGGGGTTGACAACATATTTGGACTCCAGTAAACCACCATCACTGTGACAACAAACCAAGCAGAAGACTTCTCAGACGAACCCAACAAAGTGACCAGTGCTGACTCACTCGTTAATGGTTTACGTCGTTTGTACTGACCTTGCCGATCACGTTGTACTCAGATGATCTCGATGTG